ACTAGTCAATCCATTCAAATGAGACAAAGTCAACTTATAACCAAAAGGCAAACAGTAAAACCAAAGCACTCATCCTGGCCAGTGTGGCTCAGTTGGTTGGAGGACTGTCCCACACACCAACAGGTAGTGAGATCAATCCCCAGAAGGGGCGTGTGGGAGGCAGCTGATTGATTTTCCCCTTCCTCTCTCTAAAAACAATACCCAAAACAAAAACAACTGAAGCACTCAACAAAAAATTCATGTTTTATTTTAAAAATATATATATTTTTTATTGATTTCAGAATTGATTTCAGAAGGGAAGGGAGAGAGAGAGAGAGAGAGAGAGAGAGAGAGAGAGAGAATGAATCATGGGATCAGCTGCCTACTGCAAGCCCCACACTGGAGATTGAGCCCAAAGTCCGAGCTTATGCCCCGATTGGGAATTGACTGTGACCTCCTGGTCTATAAGTTGATGCTCAACCACTGATTCACACCAGCTGGGCCATGTTCTATTTTTAAGGACATCAATGAAACTAGGCAGCTCTATAGTGTTACAAAAAAGGTAAATCAAGGTTTCTGAGGGGGAAAAAACAAAACAAAAAGGATTCTGTTATTGGTATCCATGGATGTAATGGATAGATTGCCCTGAGAGCCTCTTTTAGACCAACTTTAAAAACATTTATCACTGTTTAAAAAATGACATTGTGCTATTATTTATAATATAGTATTTCAACAAGGTATCTATGTCTAGGTTTAAAATAGTTTGAATTGTAGTTCAAGATCAACAAAGCCCAACAATTAGTATCAAAACAATCCTTACCCTAGCTGGTTTGGCTCAGTGGACAGAGCGTGGGTCTGTGGACTGAAGGGTCCCTGATTCGATTCGTCAAAGGCACATGCTCAGGTTGCAGGCTCCATCCCCAGTGGGGGGGCATGCAGGAGGCAGCGGATCAATGATTCTCTCTCATCATTGATGTTTCTATCTCTCTATCCTTTCCCTTCCTCTCTGAAATCAACATTTAAAAAACAAAAACCAAAAAAACCCCCACAAAAAACAGTCCTCCCCATCTACCTCCAACATGTAGGATGAGGCTAATGCAATCTCCCAGTGGCTTGAGAATTAGAAATCTCAAATTTTAATGAACCAGCTATAACTCCAGTCCATTTTCACTAATGAAAAACTTAAGACAGGACAATGATCATTAAAAGTAAGAAAACAGACACTATATATAGACACTGGCTATTACAAAACCCTCACTGCACATCTATAGGTGGTATAATCGCAACTGGATCCCCTAATTCCTAAAGCTTTATTGAGTGCTCCATCTTTGGTAAAATACACAAAACTCCTAGTCAGAAACCTCCCTTCCTGTAGAGTCACAATATATTTTGAAGGCTTCTATATTGTATTTTGGGTACTTTTATATTAAGAAACTTGTTTCTTAAAACTCATTTTGGCATCTACAGTTAAGGCTGGTATGTAAACGATCATCAGTTAGGAGGAGTAATATTAATGTATTGGTTTGATTCTTGAGTAGACTGTTAGTCTAGCAATCACATCTGGAGATTCTGATTACATTTTGCCATTTCAGGGTGACTAACAAAGTATACACCTAAACTGAGAAATGATTAATGGAAAATTATGCTACCTCCAGAGGTAAAACTCAATTCTTCAATTTATGATATAATACAGTTCAGATACTGCTTATGCTTGAAAGGTAATGCTCACCTTTACCCTTCTCCCTCCCAAAGGTCTTAAAGATATAATAATGCAGTTTAAACTATTCTCTTAAACTGTTCAATAACAGAAAGTTTCAAATTCCATACTCTCATGGGAGGTTGGGAGAGGGAGGGGGAGGAAGAGGAAGAAGACAAAACACACACACAAAACAACCCCGAATAAGCAGACCTTATCTATGCAAATTGTTTTTAACCAGAGCCAGCAAAAAGGATGCAAGGAACACATTCTCAAAGATAACTGACTACCTGACTTCAGGTTTACCTTTAGGCATCTGACAAAAGCAAATGTGAAGTGTTAACAGAAAAATGATTCAAAAGATTGCAGAAGCATGATGCTGCCGATCCCTAAAATATGCTTGGGGAAAATTTTCAATCTAAACCATACCTGCGGAATCGTGGTCTGTAGCCCCGATACATATTCTGTCTCACTGGTCTGCCTTGTTCTCCTGCACCCTGGTTGTCAGCACCCTGAAAAGACAACGGAAATCAAGCAAACTGGATCAGTAATGGAGAAAAAACCCAACAAGACAAATCCCAAGTCTGAATACAGGGATTAAAAATAAATAAAACCATCTAGTAATTGTGGTTATGCTATAAGTTAATTATTAACCCTTTGGTTCTTATTAGGAATTAAAAGTGCTTCTCATGATTAATATGGAGAAGATAACAAGAAAATGCTCATAATGCAGTCTTATCAAGTTATCACATAGTGTTGTTGATGCTTTTATCTTTTTTTTAAGTTAATCCTCACCCGAGGATACTGTCCCATTGATTTTTTTAAAGAGTGGAAGGGAGGGAAGGAGGGCGAGTGAGTGAGCAAAGTCTCAATGTGAGAGACACATCGACTGGTTGCCTCCAGCATGCAGTCCTATCAGGCTAGGGATCCAACCTGCAACCTAGGTATGTGCCCTTGACCAGAAATTGAACCCACGACCCTTTGGTTAGAGGGCTGACCCTTTTACTTTTTGGCATAACTTACCTCCATCACTTCTCCCTGTACAGGAGGGTTGGAATACTGTGGTCGACGCCCATAGGGTCTCCGCATGTAGTAAGGTGGGAACCGTCGCCTGCGATAGGGCCGGCGCTGTTGGGCCTGGCCTTCGGGAGCACTCTCTGATCCCTCATTCTTCTCCCCACTCTCACTATTCTGGTAATTCTGCTGGTAATTGCGTGGAGGACCCCTGCGACGTGGATAGCGTCTATAATGGTTACGGTCTGCTGCATATTTACTGCCTTGTACTGGAACTCCACCAGGGCCTGTAACATTTGCTGCCTCCGCACATATTCTTTATTTCAGTCCCGTGTACAAAAAGCCATAATATATTGACAGTGACAACAGAAATAAGTACACTAAACAAAATTTACATAAAACAAATAGAAAAAGGGTCTGTGGCCAGGGGTGCATAGAAATGATTAAACATTAGTTCCTCACTGTTCTGAAGAGATTGCCCTCTAACTGCAGCCAGCACATACATTAGGCTTGATGCACCTGTGTCATGTGGTCAC